CTTGGCATGAATTAATTGTTCTCTCAGAGATTCTGAACTCGCTTCAACATTCTTGCGATCTTCATCGGCACTTTCCAGTTTCGTCAACACTTCAGATCGATGTTGAGAAAGCTACAAGATAAATTAAAACCAGGTTTTCCATGATCGTACGAACCAGGGTTCGTACATGTGAGGAAGAGTCAAATTCAAGGACTTTTCAAGGCGATTCAAGGCATTCATGTATCAGAAAATTCAAGGACTAATACTAAAAGAAAAGGGGTTAGACATCAGAATTTTTCAAAACGCAATTTTAATGAGTTTCAAACAGATATAATGAACATGCAAAATCAATTCAACAAAATTATTTGTCCATTTTCAATGTCAAACAATTTCAGAAAATATCCAAAAACTAAAACAAGAAAAATTTAAGGACTTTCAAGTACTTCTTTACAAATTCAAGGACATTCAAGGCCTTGAATTTTTGTTTTCAAATTCAAGGGCATTCAAGGACTTTTGCACGGGGTTTTGCACAAACCCTGGTATATATCTTTAAGATTGTTATTATCAAATGAACTAACCTTTCGTGATTCCAAGATGATTGCTTCATTTTGTTTCTTTTGTTCTCTGTATAATTCACCCTTCAGCCTGCATTGTTCCTGTTCTCGTTCTAACAGCTTCTTTAAGTCCTCCTGCTCCTGAGCGATGTGACGGAACGCGTTCTCGAGATTTGCACGTTCTGTTTCCACCTGCTTACCAGTCTCCTCAACAGCTCTGCGCAGTTTAATCTCTCTGGGAAAAAAGTACAAAGCATTGGTTTGCGGCTATGAGTACGTCTGTTTTCGCCGTACCTTATAGCCACGGTTTGTGGTTATAAAGTATGTCTGTTTTCGGCACACCTTATAACCACGATTGTGCCTATAAAACATTACAGGAACACCGAATGGTTTTCCGTGCAGGATTGCGTGATCCATGCACGATGGATGTCGCGAGACTTTCGGAAAGCGTAAAAATACTCGAGCCGCAGGCGAGTGTATTTTTACGCTTTCCGAAAGTCGATCATCATCCCAAGTGCATGGATCACGCTACCCTGCTTGGAAAACCATTTGGTAATTGTTTTATAAAATAACCGCAGTGAAACAATGATATTAAGATGATTTTGAGAATCCCACGAAGGCATTTTTATTCCCCGTGCCTGATCCTGCACGGCTATTGACCAATCAAATTACGTGTTTCACTGTAGTTATTATATAAGATTGTTTTTGGCATACCTTATGAAAGTATGCCTGTTTTCGGCATACTGTACCTTATTAGCCAGGGTTTGTGGCAATAAAGTATACCTGTTTTCGGCATACCTTGTAGCCACAGTTTTGCAACATTTATCTACATAAAAACGCAGTATGCTTATGGGAGGTACCTCAAATGTATCCTAATAAATGAAGCATGTGAAACTTCCACTTACTTTGTGAGTTTTTCCTCTGATCTTCGTAGTTGATCTTTCACAGTCTCCGCTAAAGCTTCAGCGATCTTTTTATCCTCCGTCGATCGTAAACATTCGTGCTTTAGTGAACGATTTTCCTCATTGATCTCGAACAGCTCGCGTTCTATGGCAGACTTCTGATTGATCGTCTCTTCCAGTTTACTGAAAAAATCGCATAATATCAGAGTGGGATCGAACCAGTGATCTCCATATATATTTCTGAAGCGAGAACTCGAGTCAAAGATGGCGGAAATTGACGCAATCTTGCCTTCACTTTTCTCATAGGCCGAATGACTGAAGTTCTTGCTCTAAATATATATAGAACTCACAGGATCGAGCACACTTAGGCCGCATTTACACTATAACACTACGACTGACATTTCTTATATATATATATATATATATATATATATATATATATATATATATATATATATATATATATATATATATATATATATATATATATATATATAGAACTCATAGGATCTAGCACACTTAGGCCGCATTTACACTAACACTACGACTGACATTTCTTAGTATTGTGTTTATACTGTATAAACGAAGTGGTTTGAAATAATTTCCCTAAACCGTATAACATACCCATAAAATATTATTCATTCGAGTGAGATGTCACAAAAATCTTGATATTTACCCATAACCTATACATCAGGCAGTACCCTAGTATATATACATGAACTTGGGGTTAGAGTTTGACAACTGCCAGCCTCTGTAGCTCAGTTGGTTAGATAAATGTACATGAATTTCCACTCGATAATTTCCATCTACAGTACAACACCTAACATTACCTTTGCAGGTCAACAGAATGACTTCCTAACTGTCTGACTTTGGTTTCAGCCAATGTTAATTTCTCTTGATATTTTTCCAGTTGTCGCTTGCTTTCTCGTAAAGAACTCTTTAATTGCACAACAGCGGGAGAATCTACAGTAAATAATATCAACTATGAGTCTATGTATTACGTACAACCTAGTAATAAATAAAGCGAATTCAACATTCACCTCTGCGAGATAAGTTACTGTATTACAAAATGGTCTTAAACAAATAAAGCAAATTCAACACAACAGACCTTTCTCGTAAACGTCAAACGCCAATAAACACTTAATGTGATGTTACACAGGAGAATTTTTATCGTCAATGGACCATTTGCATTACAGACTAAACTTTGATCTAGACAAAAATTTCATCACAGATTGAAAGAAATGCTGTAAAATGCGGATAATATAGCCTTGCGAAATTTGCGATTTTCAGTCATTTTGTATTACAAACGGGAAATTGATGCCCCAACACCCGATTGGGCTGTCAATTTCTCGTGCGTAATACAAAATGACTGAAAAACGGCAAACTTCGCAAGGCTATATTATCCGCATTTTACAACATTTCGCAACGAAACTTTGAAATATTACTAATTTTGTGATGCTTTTTCAAGCTGTGATGAAATTTTTGTCTAGATCAAAATTTAGTCTATAATGCAAATGGTCCATTCGCTATGCGAATAATGTTACATGAAATTTGATTGGCTCGACAACAATTTTTTACTTTCTTCAATTCTTTGGAGACACCATTTGCCTCCTAACAAATCGGAAAATAATCAAGATAGTGACTCTGATTGATTTACATATTGTATAGACATGTGACTGTTGACGTTGCTTTTTACTCTTCAATACTTGAGTGAGTCATGCTTTGGGAATGACAATAAATTTTTATCACCCAACCCTTGAGTTGTTTTGTTTTTCATTTACCCAACATTTTACTCACTCACAAAATTGTTTACCCAACCCTTAATAATGACCGGTCCCTTAAGGTGGAGTTATACACGAGCAACAAAATTGCTGCAACTTGCAACAAAATCTGATTTCAACGCATGTTAATTGAAAATATTCACACATAAATTACAAATCACAAGGCAACATGTGTCGACATTTCTACTTAACATGCGTTGAAATCAGATTTTGATGCAAGTTGCAGCAATTTTGTTGCTCGTGTATTAAAACTCCAGCTTCAGTTTAATTTTAGTTTGGTTCAAAAGCGTGAAAGTCGTAATGTTTTTGGCATGTAATAAATATCTCGAACTTACTGTCCATTACTGCACGTGAACCTGACACTGGTGCAGTTTGCATCAAGGACGGCCGTGAGATACTGAGTCCTGGTGACAAACTAGAGCCCAGTCCAGTCTCGCCACCTGACAACGGAGTTTTGGCGCGAGATTGCGGCCTATCACGTTCATCTTCTGATGACGTTGACCAATCAGAATGGATATCTTGTGGGGAGTAGGGATTGAGCTGAAAAACAGAGAGGATGCATTTAAGAGCTGGCTACTTTACATATGGTTTATATCCAGGGCGCTTATATAGTGGGCGGTGATGCAGAGGATTGGTAACGAATTTTCCTTCGTTACCATTGAGACGTTTCATCTTCATTTGGCGGGAAAATTGAATGCACTTGATATGGATGTTTTAGCCTTTTTAAGTTTTGATTGACAAATGGGTATCGAGGATAAAATTTCCGTTGTCAGATGAAAAATTATATAGATTCTGCTACTATATGTTCAAGTACTTTTGCAAAGGCCCTTCGTACAAAGACCAGTCAAAAACACTAAAGTGCGTTAAAATCACAAACCTTTTCAGCTTTGGTAGAAACAGGCATCAAGTCTGGACTAAGAAAAGGAGATTCCCATTTGTTTGACCTAAATGAAGTATGGCAAATGATATAATGAGCGAATCTCCTAGACAGCTCTCAATCATTTCTAGAAGTCCAACAAGGGCCATCCTTTAACATTTTTTATTCGGTGTCACTACAGGGGAGAACATGAACTAAACTATATCTATATACTGAATAGCTCTCTATAGTACTAAACTATTCTCCAAAAATATATGTGTTTGGATACTTAAACAAGAAGTAAACTTTCCACATGCAAACGAAGCGAAAGTGTAACCTCCAGGGTGTCCACCCTTTGGTGAAGGTGAAATTCAAGGACTTTTCCAGGACTTTCACGGCCCCTTTTCAGTAAATTCAAGGACCTAGAACTGGGAAAATTTGAAAATGGCACGGATATGCCATAAATAATTCACTTTACTCACTAATTTTAATCAAAATCACTAATGCTGCCACAGCTGGAGGTGAAGGAAATTAGTTCCAGGACTTTCAAGGACTTCTACTGATTTTCAAGGACTTTCCAGTCCTGGAATTTTTTTTTCCAATTCAAGAACTTTCCAGGATTTTCAAGGCCCGTGGACACTCTGAACCTCACAACTGTACATTGCATGCAGGAATGGAAACCCGTTAACTGAGATGAAAGGCATGTGCTAGACATCAAGATTTTTGTGGCATCTTACTCGAATGAATAACATTTGATGGTATAGTAGATGGAAATTGTCAAGTGGAAATTTATATACATCCATCTACAATACCCATCTAAAAATGCATTCGAGTGAGATGTCACAAAAATCTTGATATTTACCCATAACCTGTGCATGGCATTACCCTAGTATATATACATGAACTTGTGGTTAGAGCTCGACAACTGGCCTCTGTAGCTCAGTTGGTTAGAGCACTGCACCGGAATCGCAGTGCCGCAGGTTCAATTCCAGCCAGGGACTTTCATTAGATTTTTCGCTTCTGCTTCTGGTTAGGTCTAATAAATGTATATAAATTTCCACTTGATACTACAATACCCATCAAATGTGCCATAGACATGCATGTTTTCTCACTCCCCTCGACAAAAACTGATAATTACATTCCACTTACAGTGTAGCAGGTTCATTCAATTTATTGGTCTGTAGTCGGACTGCTTCTAAATCAGCCTTGGCTTCTAACTGTCGTTTCTTGATCTCCTTGGTGCGATCTGCCAAACGATCTCTGCTTTGTACTTTCTGAATTTCGACAGCGGCGGTGTTCGCGGCATCTTCAACAAAACCTCGATGTTTTTCCGTCAACAAACGTTCCGCTTCTGTGCAGATAAAAATAGTATAATAGTACAATAAGGTACGCTTAACTACAGTCAAAGTACAAAGACCTTGGCCATTACTCGCACAAAAGATGAACAATCAGTGACAACTTATATTGAGACTTAATTATCTCTAAAAAATAGGTATACAGCTACAGTACGTATACTAAACCATATAGCTTACCAGCTAAATGTTGTAAAAAGAATACCATTTTCAAAAGCTGTGATAGTGCAAAGTCTCAATAGTGCTCATGTAATATACTGTAACACACAGTAATATACTCTCCTATAGACGCGTCGCCATAGTTACGTTGCTGATGCATGGATTAACTAATTTAGGCTATGTTTGCATATGCACAGGACCAAAACGAAGTGAAAGTCAGGGAAAAATCGATACTCACATGAGTCCATGCAGGTAACTGGAAAACTCAACCGAGTAAAATCAGCATGCTCTTTGGTAACGCATATAAAATTCAATTTGTGTTCATATGAGAAACGAAACAGCCCGGCTTGGTAAGATCTCATCTTGCGCTAGGTGGGTTCTCAGTCAAATGGGATAAAATTTTCCATATGAACGTTTTATCGCACCTGACGGGGGACATTTTTCGCCGATCTTGACGTATATAATATAGTGTCGAAAGGCATGGTTGGAAATATACAAACTTAAAACAAACATTGATAGACTTGCACAGACACTATTAAAGACATAATACAACTGGAAAACTGGGCAATTTATGACCAGGCCCTTACTGCATGTGCAAATATCAAGTGTTAATACTTAAAATAAACTCTAAACATGAGCTTAATCTCTGTTTGTACAAAGACTGGTTTACACTATCTAAATTCTTTCATCCAGCTATGCTATAGTGTGTCACAGCGTAACGCTCTTATAAAGACAGAATTCGGACTCAAAACTCTTTGCCTCTAAAAGCAGGTTTACACTAAAAGTTCCTGTGATCACAGTAGGAATTTTGCAAAGATAAATTCTAAGATTTGAAAGATTTGTAAGAAATGTCTGAGAGAACTTACTGAGTGTTAAACACCATATGTCAGTTCCCTCAAACATTTCTTACAAATCCTTCAAAACATAGAATTTACCTAAGCAAAATCCTTACTGTGATCACAGAATAGTGTGAACTTGCCTTATGTTAGATGACGTCTAAAATGTGACCACAAAAAGTAATGTTTTTGTAGCTTGCTTTTACTAATGTATGTGTTTACGATTGTTCCGCACTGGTGATTTGAATATCCGAATCTAATACGTTAATCACATAGTACACTAGTACTTGTTAAGCTCATTTGCATCATAGGGGCTGCCTGGCTGGCCGGGAGGATTGGTAAGGACTTTGAACTTTGGTATTGGACTTTGGTATTGGATTTTGATAAGCATCCAAAATGACATTTCAAAGTCGTAGTTTGATTCCAGTATAACAGTATAAAGTTCATTCAAACGATCTTTTATGGTCAAGAAAAAAATTTCGTGACACGATTCATCCCGGCTAGCTGAGCTGGCCTGGCTGAAATGAATGGCTTAATTAGTGATTGCAGTAACTAAACAACCCATTTCATAGAGCGAAATATACTTACGCGTTTCCTCTGGAGAAATACTGGTAGGATTGATCAGGTCTTCACTTGGTCTTGTTGATATATTCTGTATTCTTTCGGATCTACAAGAAACGCAAAGCTATTGTTAGACAACTCCATACACCTTCCACAGATTAACCAGAGTTAAACCAAACATTTTTTCATACGTTGAATGGATGACTCTATCAGTTCCAGTGACAGAATGCATCCATTATTGATTCAGTGTTACTACAGGAGGAAACCTAAACTAACTTAATATGTACTGCATAGTTCTGTCAGTTCTAAAATGTTCTCTCTAAAGGTCCAGTAACAGTCATCTATCATTGTACCAGTGTTACTACTGGAGGAAACCTAAACTAAATTAATTTGTACTGGATAGCTCTATCGGTTCTAAAGAGTTCTCCTTGGAAGTCCAGTAAGAGTCATCTCTTATTGATCGAGTGTTAATTACTACAAGAGGAAACTTAAACTAAACTTGATTGATACCGGGTAGTTCTATCAGTTGTAAACTACTCTCCCTAGAAATCCAGTCAAGATCATCTCTTATTTATCCAGTGGCACTGCAGGAGGAAATCTAAACTAACTTTATTTAAACTGGATAGCTCTATCAGTTCTAGACTCCCTGCACGAGGTCCGGTAACAGCCATCTTAACATTATTTATATACTGGATAGCTCTAAAACCTAAAGTAAACTAACTTAATTTGTACAGGATAGCTTCACCACGTCTGCCTAAACTGTTCTCTCTTGAGATCCACGTCCACTTATACTACAACAAAAAATCTGCTTAAAATTCCCAGAAGTCTGGTACGTATTTGCACCTTCTATTATTGCCCCAGCGTATCATAACTAAAATAGATTCAAAACTGTATACATTACCAAGTTACCAAGATTGATATTATAACATTATAAATAACAAATACCTTCCAAAGATATTTTCGTAATCTCTGTGAAATGAAAAAACTTAAAATGAAACATTACCTTGCTTTATTTTCTTCTTCTCTTCTCTTCATTTCCTCCAATCTTTCTATTTCCTTTCTCTTCCGTTCCTCCTCCGCACTCTTCCTCTCCACTTGCTTCCTCTTCATTTCATTTTCATATTCCTCTCTTTCTTTCTGCATCGCCAGTTCTCTCTCCTTCCTCTGTCTCTCGAGCTCGGCCATCTTCCGCCTCTCTTCCTCCTGCCTTCGTTCCAACTGTAGACGGATCTCGTCCAATCTTTCCTGCTCTCTGCGCGCTTGTTCTTCTTCCATACGGCGTTCTTGCTCAAGCATTTCTTCTTGGCGTGCTTTGTATGCTTCGAGAAGGTCATCCTCTTCTTTTTGTAACCGTCCCTCACTCTCAGTGTTCCTAAGGTTAGCCCTAGGTGAACCACTTTGGTTATCCTGTGTTATTCCAGTCTTTTCCCTTGGTGAACCACCTTGTTCTCTTGTTGGACTCGGGATACTCTCTAAAGTTGAAGTACTTTGTTGGTTTGGAACCTCTTTCTTCATTAAAGCAGGTTCTTTTACAATATTATTGTTGTTGTTATTTTTCATAATTTTCTCTTGATCAGCAATTTCTTGTTTCGAAATCATTTCATCCTGATCATCGTAAGTTCCTTCTGATCCAAAACTACCCTCACTTTCACCAAGATCATCCTCGGGATCCTCAGATACCTCTTCAGATATTTCATCAGATATCCCTGTACTACTTCTACGATCACGCCTATCATTACCCTCAAACGTCCCTTCACTTCCTCCAGTGTCCCTACGAATGCGGCTATCATTATCCATAGAAGACACCTGAGTTACCTCAGTACCCCTACGATCACGACTATCAGTGCCCTCCAAAGTCCTTTCACTTCCCATCCTACCCTGAACATTTTCACCATCCTCATCATGACTGCTATCCCACTGGGAACTTTCTTGCTCTTCAAAATCCCCTATTACTTCTCCTTGTTTACCAGCATCACCTAATGTTCCTCCTTGCCCCATCAAATCTCCTGTTTGTGCTAAAATATCTTTCCCTTCGATGTTCTTATTTTGTCCACTTAGGTCCCTTGGTTGTTCATGAGAAACTCCTCTGTGATCATCATTATCCTTCAATACTCCCTTATTTTGTGCAGTAAAGTCCCCTGTTGTTCTAGTTTGTTCCTCATTATTATCCATCAATGACCCCTCATCATCGTCAATTTGTGACTCCGATTGTACTTCGCTTATACTACCCTCATCAGATCCATTAAAGTCACTCTCAATCCCTAATTCGTCCTCCAGTCCCTTCTTGATAGACTTGGCCAGTTCGCGTTCCTTCTCTTGCTGTTCTCGTTCCCAGTCTTTTTGTCTCTGCTCTTCTATCTCTTGCTGTTCTCGTTCCCAGTCCTTTCGTCTTTGCTCATCTTTTTCTTGCTGTTCTCGTTCCCAATCCTTTTTTCGTTGCTCTTCCTTCTCTCTTTCCTTTTCGGAAAACAAAAGATAGAACTTTCAATAAACTACAATGCTTGGGACCAGTCTATCTCTAACCATCTAACCACCCCTAACTAATCATCTAACCTAACTGCCTAACTAATAATCTAACTCAGAGCTGTAACTTAACACTTGCCCGCGGCAAGTGAATATCATGACGAGCAAGTAAACGTTTTGTCTTGCTTGCCCGATATGGCAAGTTGCCTTGCCAAAAAAAACTGGACATCTTTAAGTTTATGTTTTCATTGTCGGATAATTTTTTTATAGTGCATGCACTTGATTCAAATTTTGTTTTTTGTGGGCCAAAGCTAGATCTGAGGCAGTATAACATAGTCATATAGAGCAGTGGGAGAATGGGTCGACATGTTGTCCCCTTAATTTATACCCCCTACCTAGGTACCCCAGTGGCCACTGTCTGATGGCAAGTGAATTCTATTCAGGGCAACTAATTTTCATGTCCAACTTGCCCTGAGGGCAAGTGGTCAAAAAAGTAAAGTTACACCACTGTAACTAATCATCCAACTGACCTCTTGTAATTTTTGTTCAGCTTCCTTTCTCTTGTCTTCTTCAGCTTTCATTTGAGCCAATCCTTGTTCTTTTATTTTTTCTAATTCCTTCCTCCTCGTC